CGGCCGTTTAACTCTAATTAGTAGTACAAACTCGGATTGAAACCAAGATAACAATTAGGACCAGGACTGAAGACAAGATGAATATGAAAACTCAAAGATGAGATCAAGGTTAGAACTAGAACCACCTATGAAACGCTGGTCAGTACTATAAACTAAGACGGAAATGAAGACAGGAACTCGGACCATGACTGAAGCCGTGATGACTATAAAAACTCGAAACTGAAATCAAAGCTAGGGCTAGAACCAGCCCTCAAATACTGATCAGTACTATAAACACATATTCAAACCAACATAAGAAATGGGACCACGTCTTACGTTCTCATCAGTATGAAAACCCGAAACTAAAATCAAGGATAGGACTAAAAACAGCTATGTAGCACTCATCAATGCTACAAACTCGGATTGGAATCAAGAGAGGAACTAGGATCATGACTGAGTCTGTCCTGACTATGAAAATCCACAGATCGAATCAACAGGATTAGTGAAACTACGGATGAATCCGTGATGAGTATCAGAATTCGTAATTGAGCTCCCGATGGGTTGGAGGATGATGGTTGAAACCTCAATAGGTGTCAGCATTCTCAACGCATACGGGATGCATACTAGGATCGTCATTAAGTTGGAGTGAGTGCTGGAATGGACTAGATTTGGATTATGAACTCCAGGAGGGTCGTAGTGCTCAACTGAAGCAGAATTTCACGCCGACAGAAGAATTGTGTCTGAAGGTGGCTGACGAAATGAATCCTGATTTGAAATGATTACAGAGATACAAATTAGTATACAATCTGAAGAGTTAATCTAGACATAGTTCACTCAGCAAGCAAGAACACTCAGAATGATGATTATCGAAGCTGTGGTCCGGACTGTTAGTCTCTGTTTGTTGTGAACTGATGTGATATTCATCATCGGTCCTCTGGTTGCCTCGATGCCTCTTATTTCTATTTGTGCAGCATGCAGAACTAAGATGAATAACGGTTATCCGTACTCACTTATAAATGGCACCCACATTCTACGCTTCTTGCAGAATTGTGCTTCGTACTAGCAAATTGTACATAGTAAAGCATGTATGTGTAACTGCTAATATGCGTTGGTGGCGAGAAACAGCATTGACTATACCGTATTGCGCACATCTTGACGCGCATTGGATTATGTTTCTATGCCTATTGTTTTGTTTGTTCTCCACTGTAGTAGGAAAAAAGAACAAAGCACAGGTAATAGTAGTTGGAAGAAAAAATCAAGGCATGATAAGTATAGGTAGCAAAAAATCGAAGGCATGATATTCAAACCCCCATATTCACTTACCTCACGTATTTGAATGAATGCACATGAGCCAAGCTTATTTCGAGATGTATATAAACACAATGTAATCGACTACTTTTACACATAAACAACATCGATAAATTCCAGTATTATCCTCGTCGTTGGTCCACTAGATTTCAAAAGAATAAAACGAGTAAGTATATGCCCTCTGACAGTACAATCTCTTTGAGTGTTCTGTGGAGTTATCACTACCGAGTGGATTTATTTCTTCTTGAATAATACCACTAACATTCTATTGTACTTTTATCGCATCATAATAATTATTTTCATGACAGAGAAAACTTTCACATATTCTTTCCCTAATGAATATCAGAGATTAGCTACACTTGAAACCATTTTTCTCATTAAACTTCTACAATAAGCGTTGTCAACTCAGTTTTTGAAGTCTACTGTAGAAAAACAGCCACTTAATTATGGACTCTTTTATCATTCGAAAAGATGTGAGTCCACTAAAAGATAATTACGATGATCTGTAGAAAATAAGTGCTTGATAAATTTCGTTGAAGTAGTTTTATTTGAGTTAGTTTTTAACGAAGAATGTACTTCGATAGTAACTTCAAAGTGAATAGATTTAACAATGCAACATTTGGTTTTTCAAATATTTCTTTACGTTTCGACCGCATCTGGAAACCATTTGAGAGTGTGATTACGAAAAAATGAGATTGCAGGTTTATGGATATATAAGTATTTCCTACAATGAGATATTTGATTTCAAGTTGACATTTAAGGGAAAATAATATTCGATTTCAAATATGGATGAGAGATTAAAGCGTGTTCACGAAATTTTGAGCCACTTAATCAATAAATTTATTGATTAAGCGGCTCAAAACTTAGTGAATATCCTTTATGGTGTCTTTGGCATTATTCATATGCATAAATATAAATAAATAAAGGTGAACAGGACAGATACCACCAATCTCTTCTCGTGTGCGTCTCGCAGGTCATTCAGCCAAAGTGACGTATGTTACCATCTATAATAACATAAGATTCTCGACACCTGGCACTCTCAACATAACAGAAATAGGAAGAAAGCAAAAATTTTCATAATATATATGTCCGATAATGGAATAAGAGAAAAACATGAGTAGAATAATAAGAGTATCATTCGCCTATGGTCTCCAAGATTCGTGATACCTTTTATATATAATAAGACCTTGTGTCTTTCTCGGTTGTCACAGAGAAAGCAGTTTACGTAGACTCTCAGAATATATAGTTTTGAGAAATATTCGATGTTTCTACTTTTTTCTCTAAATCCGCCTTCAAAATCAGAGACCCTATAGAGTCGCATATTCCTGCAATAACTGTTATTCGAAGACTATTTAGCCCATATTTGCTCACCATCTATTATGGCGACAATCGATTAAATCTGTTTGTATTCTAAATGATGTTTTAGGTTTAAATTGTTTCACGTAGAAGACAGCAGGAAAAAATGATGCGACTAATGTTAATAATGTTACTCGTGTCAGCATTAATCAGCGCTGGAAGTGGAGATAATCAAGCAGGTGGCGGTCCAGGCAACGGAGGTCCAGGCAACGGAGGTCCCGGCAACGGAGGTCCAGGCAATGGAGGTCCAGGCAATGGAGGCCCAGGCAACGGAGGTCGAGGCAATGGAGGTCCAGGCAACGGAGGTCCAGGCAATGGAGGTCCAGGCAATGGAGGCCCAGGCAACGGAGGTCGAGGCAATGGAGGTCCGGGCAATGGAGGCCCAGGCAACGGAGGCCCAGGCAATGGAGGTCCAGGCAATGGAGGCCCAGGCGACGGAGGCCCAGGCAACGGAGGTCCAGGCAATGGAGGTCCAGGCAAT